TACCAGCACCTTAAAGATCACAAAATACAATACTGTAAAACACTCAACGTAAACCAATCAGGACAGTCAGTAGCACAAACAATGATACATGTATATACTGGAAAAACAAATACCAAACACAAAACACAAACACTTGGGAAGTGTGGAAGGCACCCGGCTATCACGGTGGCACGTACTGGAGAGCGAGCAAGCCTCACGCAAGACGCCTAGGCTGTGCACGCACACACACGTGTGTGGGGAAGAGAGTTTGTTATCGAGATAATCTTTATGTAGACAAAGCAGCAGCATCAAATCAGCGTTGCCCACCAGGCATCACAGCTATTCCTCCTTTAATTCATAAACCCGTCGCCCATCCACGCCACGCATACACAGGACACGGGATACACATCCCCCGAAGCACGGGAATGCAAGAGGGGCCTAAAAAGGGAGCGCGCCGCCACTCAAAGCTCACTCCGCAAGCTATCCCGGCCGCTCAAAGCATCATGACACGGGACTCAAAGCGGAAGCACTACAGGGACAAAGGGCGGTCCCACGGGCAATGACGCGACACTCAACCAGCAAGCACACGCAATAAGGGACTACATGTTCTCTTTGTTTTTATATCATCCCACCCAGTTTGTGATTGGATCCACACAACCCCAAGCACATTAACTTAATTACCGGGCAACAATACGTCCCACTACACGTGGAATTTTTGAACACATAACGGCAGACTGAGGCTGGACAGTTAGGCCTATATTAGTCTCGCGTAGCCAGACCTTCAGACTGACGGCTGAAGGTCTTGAATAGCAGCATTAGGCTTGTTTGAGATGCGCCTTGCCTCGCCTGAAATGTAGTCGAGAGTAGGCGGCTGCAGTGAGAGGAGGAGTGAAAAAAGCGCAGGCAAGCCGGACAGATCGCTCTTCTCGCAGTGGATCTAACACCTGTGAGATCAAAGGCGGATATCGCGGGATTCACGGGATTCACACTCGTGCACGGTGTTGCTAATAAACTGGATGTATTTTAAGTTTTGTTGCTTGAATATGAAAATAAATATAATGAACAAGACACTCAAAGTACTTATTTAATTCCATTTTAAATAGGCCTATATGTTTATGAATCATTTTTTTTCTTTACAGATATGTTTTTATTTTTAATTAAATTTTTTTTTTACATCAAATAGATCGCACTGTCTGAGAGTTTGGGGATATCCACACATAATCTATACACATAAAACATGATATCAGAGTTTTAAAATCAAACATTTAAAAAGAGAACAATACATCACGGTTGTTTAAACCAATGAGCATTAAGCTGTGCCGTCAGCAAGTCGTTTCCCATCATGCTTTTGATCAGCGCAGTCGGTGGAGAGCAACTGCGCGCGACTGCAGAATCCGACACGTGCGCCTTGCGGTCGCGAGACTTTTTTGACTCACGTCAGCATGACATCAGAGCAAGGCGGACCGCACTCAAGGGGGTAATCCATCGACCGGAAGTTGAAGCCGGCCGGGTGCCGCCATGTTGTAGCAGAACTTCACTTGCGTTAGCATTTCCATTGACTCCCATTCATTTTTGCGTCACTTTGACAGCGAATAACTTTACATCTGAGGCGTTTAAAGACTCCATTTGTCCATTATTTATTTCTAAAGAAACACGACAATGTATAAAGGGCTCCATTACCTTCTATGTTACACTATGGCCCCGTAGAAACAGATTTAGTAAAAATAGGCTAACGATTGCGTCATAACCACTCGACTCTCTGTCGCGCTGTACAGAAGTTACCGTACAGACAGGAGGAGAAGCTCGCAGGCAATCGGGGGGACGTCCCGTCAAGGGAGAAGCCCATAGATAATGAGTCCATAAAAGCAACGGAATACATACTCCTGCTCACTCATGATAAAGGACTCTTTGCTCAAGTTCCCCGTCTCTGCAAGATTAACGTTGGCAGTTTTCACGCACAGCTACTAGAAGATTTACATCTGTCAGACAGGTTGCTCACGTCATCAAGCTTAGTTTGAGTCGGTCTGAGTCTGCGCGTCAGGAACGGAAGTTCTCAAAAATCGCTAAAAGTGGGCTTCAACTGTCTCAACTGAGTTCCAATGAGATCGCTCTGTCCATTTCTTTTACTGTCTATGACCGCACTCGGACACATTTCTAACCGGCATGCATCTCGCGCTGATCACCGGTGATCGGTTCTGCGCATAGACAGTAAAAGAAATGGACAGAGCGATCTCATTGGAACTCAGTTGAGACAGTTGAAGCCCACTTTTAGCGATTTTTGAGAACTTCCGTTCCTGACGCGCAGACTCAGACCGACTCAAACTAAGCTTGATGACGTGAGCAACCTGTCTGACAGACGTTACTCTTCTAGTAGCTGTGCGTGAAAACTGCCAACGTTAATCTTGCAGAGACGGGGAACTTGAGCAAAGAGTCCTTTATCATGAGTGAGCAGGAGTATGTATTCCGTTGCTTTTATGGACTCATTATCTATGGGCTTCTCCCTTGACGGGACGTCCCCCCGATTGCCTGCGAGCTTCTCCTCCTGTCTGTACGGTAACTTCTGTACAGCGCGACAGAGAGTCGAGTGGTTATGACGCAATCGTTAGCCTATTTTTACTAAAACTGTTTCTACGGGGCCATAATGTAACATAGAAGGTAATGGAGCCCTTTATACATTGTCGTGTTTCTTTAGAAATAAATAATGGACAAATGGAGTCTTTAAACGCCTCAGATGTAAAGTTATTCGCTGTCAAAGTGACGCAAAAATGAATGGGAGTCAATGGAAATGCTAACGCAAGTGAAGTTCTGCTACAACATGGCGGCACCCGGCCGGCTTCAACTTCCGGTCGATGGATTACCCCCTTGGTTCTGCGCAGATTTTGCTCATCTCAAACAAGCCTATTCTTTGGCCAAGGCCCGCCCATAAGGCCGTTTGACCGACATGTCAAACAACCAATTACAGTTCGTTTCGTTCAGCGTTACGTTTCGGTGCGTGGAAATGTCCCCACAACAACAGACCGGCGTGCAACCCGTCAGTCAGCATAGAAAATCAAAGAAGGAGAAGAAAACTTCAAGAGTCTATGCCGTGAACCTCGCATACTTTTGAGAATACTACGTTTAGCTGATCTTGATAAATACTCATTGTCACTCATGTAAACACAACAGTTTTTCTTCCGCAATCACACGTCTGCGCTTTGTTTCCCGGCGGACCGAAAATAAACGCGACACTCGCGCTCCCCCCCCCCCCCCCCCCCCCCCCCCCAGAAATCCGATAAAATTCAACCAATCAGATGACGACTTCGACATTCCTGAAGTGTTTCCAGTTAAGTGTGCTGCAACGCATTCTCATCCCAAAGCATAATATATTGACTCTTTTGACAAAGCGTCTATATCCAACGCACATGGCACCCTTTAGCGTCAATATAACACGCTTCGGTTTTGGGTAGGTTTAGGTCTGGGGTAGTGTTAGGGTTAGACCACTAGGAGGCGCCATATATCTGCGTCTCATATGACGCTAAAGGGTGCCATGTGCGTTGGATATAGACGCTTTGTCAAAAGAGTCAATATTACGACTTTCCGTGGGCGTGACGTCTGAGGCTGAGACTAGGCCTATATAGGCTATATTTACCAGTCAGTCGGTCTCCGCCAGATGCCCAGGGCTTCACAACAGGGGCGGGTATCACTGGCCTTATTGTTTGCTATTGGCTGAGTACAGCTGCTGGCTACTTAATTATTCATTGAGGGAAGGTCCAATTAGGAACTTATCTTGGTCACGGAGTTAATTATTCAGGAAGTTTACGGAGGAAGCTGAGGGCAGACATTCCAGATGATGTTTGTGTGGTTTGCTTATAGCTTTTGCATAAAAAAGACACCAAGAATATCACATGCATTTTTAACACTCAAAAGTTTGACAGAGGAAGGATGCTGCACTTGCTCAACATTTAATCGGCTGATTTACAGTGGTCAGCATTTTTTCTTGTTTGCTGATTTATGCGCACCAGTCACATTTTTTTTAAAAAGCACACACATGGTCAACACATCAGAGATTCTTTTTCAGCGATCCAACTTTTAATGCTGAATTGACAAATGATCATGTTAACTCATTTAAATTACTTTTCATTGCGTCCTGAGAATCTTAGGAGCTTGTGAAACACATATTAAACATATATGTTTTAATAACAACATTTTCTGCGAGTTGATAGGAATTGTTACTCTCTTGTAATCTTGAGTTTATTTGCAGTTTCTTAAAAGAATAGCATTATTTGCAAATTGTCCATCATAATTTACTGGTGACTGTTTGAGAAAAGTTTGACTGCAAAATGTTAAAGTCTAAATTATAAACAAGACTTGGGAAAATAGGACAAGTGGGAAAATCAAGCAAAATAAGTGCTACACCTAACAAAGCTTGAAAATCTATACAATAGATTGTGTACCGAGTCCTGAAATTGATATTCATTATAATAACACGAAAACAAAATTACAAAATTCATCATAACGCAAAACACATCCATTATAAAATCGTATATAAAAAAGCAATAATTTAAGTAATATACATGTTAAAGTTAAACTCGACAAACACTGTTATCACTAAAAGGCATGCACTTTAACACTGACACATTAACATTTACAGTGTTACAGTAAATTATTTCAGAATGAAAACACTGATACTGTATGTCGTTTGAAACAGCCTATAGACCACCCACCGACCATTTGATGATTTATTGCACACAAAATAGTCAAAACACTTGCCAAAACAGCAAGCTTTAATCTGATTGGCTGGCTTGATACAACTTCTGGACTTCTTGATACAACCCACTTAGAATCAGAAGTCATGTTTAGTCAAGGTACTGAGCTGCCGCATTGAACTGGATTTGCCCGTTTGCTCCGTTTGTGGCATCAAATCTTTGAAAGATATTCAGAGATTTGAGGCACTTATTTGCAAGTAAATGAAATATATATCCCAGATCATGTCTGTAAATTCTTTGGTGTTTATATACCTTTTGGATGTGAATACATTTGTTTTGTGAACAATGGTTTATTTATTACTGATTCAATATAAAGGCCATCTGAAAACAAATTCAAGTATAGCGAGTCACTTTAAATGTGAGATCGGCCCTTTCCTGTGAATCTGCCAATCTATTTTGAGCTTCTCAACAATATGGAGAATATGCTTAAAATGAGTCCAATGCAAGCTATTCAGAAGCTTCAAACGTTCTGAGACGGAAGCAGATTTAGAAGGTGTGAAACACACAGAGATAATCTTATCTTGAGATCCTTTCATTCTACAGCCCAACAAAACAACAGGAAATTCACTTTCAATTTTTTGCAAGATCGGTGACATTTTTCCGTCCCTTTCAGGTACAAGTTATGGCACGTCAAGTAAAAAAACACGTATGTCCAATGCTTCTACAATTTCATCATGATGTGGGACAAGTCGCTCTCATTTCATTGCTCTTTTCTGAATTGCTTTTGGAGCTGTGCATGTTGTGCTGGCTACTGTGTGTCGAGCGCTGACTCGAGAGGACTTTGTTACACAGCGACGCCATGCCTCTTCTGATCTCCTGACGGATATTGTTGCTGGAGAGTACGTAAAGAATGGGGTTGATGGCGCTGTTGAAAGTCGACAGTCCCAAAGAGATTTTGTAGGCCGTGTAGATGTACTTTTCAAAGTGACACTGCTCCTGCAGCTCGGGGAAGTGGAAGATGACGGCGCGCATGAGCAAGATAATGTGGTACGGAGCGAAACAGATCAAAAACAACGCCACCACCGCCACAGCCAGGTAGCGCACCTTTTCTTTCTGATGGGGCTGGAGGCCTGTGCTGGCCTGCACGTTTGCAAGAATGGCCCTGTTGGTGAAGATCAGGATGCCCAGGGGGACACAAAAGCCTATGCAAAACCGAGCGTAGTTGAATGCCGTGACCATCTTTGTGCTCTGGCCTGGCTCGAAACAGCGGTGACTCCCTTGGGCAGCTTCCCCTTCGCGCATGATGAAGACGGGCGCGTGAACCAAGCCCACTACCATGTAGATCGAAAACGCTATGAGAGCTGCAATCCGTTTCTGGCGAAGACCGCGAGATTCAATTGCATAGACCACCGCCACGTAGCGGTCGATGGACACGCAGCAGAGCAGGAAGATGCTGATGTACATGTTGTTGAAGAACACAAAGCCAGTCACTTTGCAGGCCATCGAGCTCCAGGGCCACTTGTGGTTTCTACTGACGTACACTGTCCACAAAGGCAGCGTGAAGAGGTAAGTGAGATCGCACAAGGACAGGCTGAACAGGTAGATGCCGAGGACGTTCTTACGACACACCTGGTGGAGGGTGAGGTAGACCGTGATTAAGTTGCCTGGCAGGCCGATGATAAAAACCACAATGTAGAACACCATCAGAGGAATACGGTCCTCCTCAAATGATATCTGACAGGACACCTCACTTCGGTTCATGGTCGTCATGATGCTCTGTGCCACAGTGGATACATGCATCATATCTGAGGGGGGAAAATAAAGAAAGAAATTAGAATAAGCGGTTAAACAGAACTGTGGGAGTACCGAACATGACTTGGAAGAAAAAAAGTCACCGTATTTATACTGTAAAAAACTACAGGTATTTAAAAGGATAGATCACCCAAAAATGAAAATGCTGTCATTATTTACTCACCCTCCTCAATTGTTCCAAACCTGTATTAGTTTCTTAAGTTGAACACTAAAGAAGATATTTTGAAGAATTTGAAGAATACGGACGCCAATGAGTGCCGTCAACTGTTTGATTACTGGCGTTCTTTCAAATATCTTCTTTTGTGTACAACAGAAAAAAGAAATTCATACAGGTTTGGAACAACTTGAGGGTGAGTACGTGATGACAAATTTTTCTTTTTCGGGTGCACTATCCTTTTAACTAGTAAACTATCAGTATACACTTGTAGTATAGTTGCAGTACAAACGAAAAATGTAGTTGCAAACTAGTTGTGTACTCAAGATTTCCTACTGTTACACTTGAAGTATACTTAAAAGTATACACTAAAAAGTGGGCCAATTTAGAACCAAGTAGTAGTGAAATAGTACACTTATAAGTATACTACTAGTACATTGATATACTTACTACATTAAGTATACTCAAAATTATACTTGAACTTTACTTATGTATACTTAATCAAATGAACTTGAAGTTGCTTGTTTTTTGTAAGGGTAAAGAATCCAATCACACAATTTATTAATTGATGGCCACGTTTTGTTAAATCATTGTACTACTTTGTTGTACTAATTCATTCCTTTGTTGTTGGTTTTTTTAATTGTTGCCACATGTACAGAGTCAGCGTCCCTAACATGTAATGGTAAGCTATTCTAAAGTCTATTAACAATTATTAAAAATGTTAAATTAAAGCCTGTAAAATAAAATAAAAATATACACTAATAACTAATTTTAATATAAAATACATTTAAAAACTGAAAAAATATTGAAAAGTTGTACAAAATTAAAATGGCAAAGAAGTTAAAACAGAGACAAAAAAGATAAATGTCTGTTTTAACTAAATATGTTAAACAGAACAGACGTGTGTACTACGTTGAGCCTAATAAAATAGTATTTCACATATGGAATTTGCCAAAAATGTGGTACCTTTCAAAGCTGAATTCAGATTCACCCATTTCAAGTTTTTTTTTTTTTTTTTTTTTACTTCATGGGACTTCATCTTATCATCTTACCTTTTTTCCTACATTCTTGTATCATTGTTCATAGTTACAGTGTGTGTGTTCTTTTCAAAAAATCTTCACTGCTAGATCACATCCTTTATGTTTAAACTAGTTCATAAGCATAAAATATGAGGATTTTTATGTTTCAGTCGTGGTTTCCATTGTGGTGAACATGAAAAAATCGAATTAAAAAAAAAATGTCTAGGCACAAATCTTTTTTAGACTTGTTTCTACATTAGTGAAGCAATCATTCTGCAATCAGTTTTGAACCTACAATGAACTTTGATTCAAAAGTACATTTTGAGGCACACAACATACATTGAATTGCACAACTAAGGTGGCACTTTGGCACATATCAAAGCGGTTTTGCTTCGACAGGACCATTGACCATTCCAATGTTTCAGTGTTTCTGCCATGTCTCATCCAGTGTAAAACACCCCCTTTCCCCTTCATTTCCAGCAAAGCACAATGCACCACTCCCTAGTTTTGCCCCAGCTAGACAAGACAGCCACTGAAATATTCATCACAACCCCATCATCCACGAGGAGTAGAAGTGCATCAGAACGGAAACACACTAGTGAGAACCACATGTGTTGGTAGGCTACATGAATTGTATATTGGTACGTGAATGCTATATGAATGGTATATGAATCATCATGTATCGTTCTTGCCTTAGACAGTTATTGAGCTAAACGTTTTTTAAAGTTCAGACAGAAATGAATGCAGTTAAACCACCCACTTATAGGTTCATGCGCAATACATAGCTGACTAAGAGTCCCTCCTTTTCTTTTTACTCATTTCTCGCTTTTCACTTTGGGGAAAAACCGTGACCTTGCACAAGAACTCTACTGAGAATTGGGAAAGTATTTCACTTGACCTATTGACACTAACCGGGACAGTTGGATTGGCAATAAAGCCATTGATGGTCAGAGTCAAGAAAAACACGGATACAAAGTCAGTGGAGAGAGAAGAACGAATACATTAAGTTCTGCATTAGTCTTCATTGTGTTCTGTGACCTACTTATAGTCATTAAATCACTGTACGGGTGTTAAGACAGACACTGTGACTTTTGGATCAGATGAAACCTTTTATTCCCTTGTCTCATATCATCAGTGTCAAGACACTGGCGATGCTCAGTCTAGTGTATGTGACCATTTTTAGACGCTGCAGGCAGATTCTTGGAAACAAGCTCAACCTTATTAGAGATGATGCTCTCTATACAGTATGAAGATACCAGGCAATATGTATTATCTGAAATGTATTTTATGTACCATTAATGGAAGTCTAAATTAAGCTGGCATCTTCATTAAATATTCATGATTCCTTTGTTTAATGCTGACAACAAAATCAACCCATATCTCTCAAGTTAATTTGATGAATTATTTTATTTTATTTGTCTGCTTGAAATATATGACATTTAACACTTTAGAGTTTTTCAACCTAAGGGTCCCTGAAGATGTTCCAGGGGGGCCACGGAGAAGAAACCAACTGAAAATGTCATGTCATTTCCGCTATTAAATATCTTTCTAACTAATTATCTGCTAAGGATTCTCTAATGTATAATGCTGTTGTAAATAAAACACAAAGTTGTTTTAAAGTTTTAAAGAAGTTCTATAGTTTTATAAGAAAATACTATTTCAGTCATTTACTTGAGTCAATGTTATATTCTGTTTCTTTGTAATTATGTGGCAAATTTACAAGCAATTTCGAAGTAAAATCTGACTTTTTCCCCAGTGTAGTTAATGAAGTCATGATAATAAAGTGTTTCAGGGAAAACCTACGTAGCTTTTTTTTATACTGAGGGTCCCTGGTTGACTGAAACACACAGTTTCACACAGGTTGAAAAGGTGTAAAACAGACAACCAGGTCGAAAATTACACGTGAAAACACTGCACACATCCTGTTTTCAGATTTTGGCGTGCCGCACAAAAAAATCCTTTAGACTACTTCTCAATAGCCTAAAAGCAAATATGACATTTTCTATAAATGTAACGTATACAATTGCGTGGATCTTACCTCCAAATGCAGTTAAGAATATGTCCTTTCTTCATCTATAAGCATCTATCTGTAAGAAGGACCAGCGCAGCAGAGCTCTTGACAGGCCCCTCACAACAGCTCGTGTAATGATGAAGCAGCGCGACTCACGAGCACATCTCTACACCACATAGCCTACTACGACCACGTGATCGTCGTACTTCTGCTTTCTTCGACAGCGGGCTCAAATAAGGCACTTTGAATGAGAGAAGATACAAAAAACTATGCCTCTAAACTGCATTTCTAGAACACCTTTTTGGCATCAGTGGCGCGTTTTGTGTTTGTGAACGTGAGGAAATGGAGGGGACTTGGCACGCGCATGATGCTCAAAAATGATGTTAGATCAGATAAACAGCCGGGGATTTTCTTTTATCACATTTCCACAACAAAGGGAACCAAACCACTAATATTAAACAGGCCTACAAAAAAAAAAAAAATCTAAATAAACTTGATCTTATTGTTAACATAACATAAAATATTTATTTTTTTAATCTAAGTCTAAGTTCCAGGGCTTGACCACAGCATATTTCTGAAACTAAACCCTTCATTTTTCTATGTTGCTCGAAAGGTAACGGGAATGCCCAATACCAATCTGACGAATCACAAAGACTGAAAGAAAAAGCGAAGTAACAGCAAAGACTTTATATATAGGCCTACGGTAACAGTCAATGCATGGTGTGGCAATGCAAAGACAAAACAACTATGTAATCTATGTCCTTAAATGGAAATATGGAAGAAAGTTCTTCTGTGAAAAGTGTGTGGTCTATATCTATCTAACGTTATAGGCCTATATAAATTAGTGATCTCAACCAAAATATTGCATTGGCATGGGTCTCAAAACATTAATGTCTAGTTGTGTAACAATTCCCAGTGAACTAAAGGTAATAATTACTTCAACCATTTGTCAGCATGGCATTTTATGAGCCCACATTATTAGGAAACTTGTAGGAGTTGTGTCTTTAAACATGTTAAGCTTTGTAAGGGGGGAGGGGTCACATTATGAAATAAATGTTTTTCTCCAAAACATGTTGGCCACAATTATTGGCACCCTTTTATGTAATACTCTTAGCAACCTCCCTTTTCCAAGATAACAGCTCTGAGTTTTCTCCCATAATGCCTGATGAGTTTGGAGAACACCTGACAAGAGATCAGGGACCATTCCTCCGTAATGAATCTCTCCAGATCCTTCAGATACCCAGATCCATGTTGGCGCTTCTTTTCTTCAGTTTACCCCACTCATCAGGTCAGGGAACTGGGACGGTCATGGTAGAAGCTTCATTTTGTGCTCTGTAACACATTTTTGTGTTGATTTTGATGTTTAGATTTTTTTTATCTGTTGATATTTGATAGAATCCACGATGACATGTATCTGAACAAGATGTCCAGGACCTCCAGCAGAAAAAATATGCCCACAACATTAAAGATCCAACAGTATATTAAATTGTACACTTGGGGTACTTTTTATCCTTGTGTGCACCAAACCCATCTAGCGTGTTTGCTGCCAAAAAGCTCTTTTTTTAGTTTCATCTGACCACAGAACAATTTGCTGGAGTTTGTTTTTGGATGAGCGAGGAGGATTTTTCTTGAAACCCTCCCAAACAACATGTGGGGATGTAGGGGTTGCTTAATTATTATTATTTATTTTTTTGGTAGGCTTCTGACCCCAAGACTCAAGTAATCTCTGCAATTCTCCATCTGTGATCCTTGAAGAGTCTTTGGTCACTCAAACTCTCCTCCTCACCGACAATATAGACACACGTCCTCTTCCTGGCAGATTCCTAACATCTTTAGTTGATTGGAACTTCTTAATTATTGCCCTGATGGTGGAAATGGGGATTTTCAATGCTTTAGCTATTTTCTTATAGCCACTTTCTATTTTGTGATGCTCAACAATCTTTTGATGCACATCATAACTATATTCTTTGCTTTTACTCATTGTAATGGATGATTAAGGGGATTTTGCCTTTGTGTTTCCTCATATTTAAACTCCTGTGAAACAAGAAGTCATATCTAGCTATAACAATTTCATGTTCTAGTCACCCTGGTGACTAAACACTAAACACAGGCAGGCAAAAGTTAAACACGTTTTCACACAATGACTCAAAATTGTTCACACTTATTTCTAATGATGTGACCAAACCAACTGTACATAATACAAGTCAGTTCTGAGTGCCAAAATTGACTGAAAATGTTGCACTGAATGTTGATACCAACAATGGATGGAAACAATATAAGAGGGAGAGGAGGAAGAGAGGGTGAGGACGAGGAAGAGCAAGATGTGGAGAATGTTGTCGAGGCTGGATCTGCTTTCGGGTTTTTCCCTTTGCCTGCAGAGATGACATTGTCTGAGATGTGAACAAACTCCTCCGGCCGGACCAACATGAAGACATGATGCTGAAGCAGAATCAATCTCTCTCACTGACCTTGATTTTCTTCTGAGTGACTGTAACATGCTTTTCATTTAGAGTTTTTTTCCTGTAACCTTTTTGTCTTTTGCAGTTGGGTCACCGACCGTATGTTCACAGTATGCAAGTGCTGAATGTACAGATATTCAATACTATACTTGCAGTGCACCTTACTACTGTAAGTTGTCATTACTATACTTTTTACATAATGGCAAAATTAGTTTACTTTATTACAATATACTTTTTTCTTTTTTCATGCTTTGGATTCTGTTCTCCATTTTTTGATGTAGTGTCTAACGAATGATCTGTAGTGTTTATAATATTGACTCATGTGTGTATGATCGGAAAGCATTATTTGATTCTGAGCACAGATAAAATGGTTTTGAGGCAATTGTTTGATTTTTCCAGAAGAGTCAAGAGGTTCTCTGTCTGAATGTGGTTTGAACAATTGGTTTTGTGTTTAAGGTTTTGAGAAAGTGAGTGATGGTTTCAAGAAATGTGCTTTAGCAATTCAGAAAAACTGTAATACCACAGCTGTAAATGTAAGCTGTATAAAGTTTATCTGTAATTTGTTTAGATCTTCCAGAGTTGAAAGAACTGAGACTTATGGAAATCTTGTGAAAAAGGTTATATGACACAATCTACTGTATGATTACAAGTCCCCAAAATGAAACAGCAGGGGAACTTCCTTTTACAGCTATTATGAGCTCAAACTGTGGTCATAAAATTGACCACCATTTGCAGAAACTGTGACAAATCTTTCCTGTCGCAACAGTCAAAAACTTTGTTAACAGCTTTTATCTTAACAGGATTCCCATCTTCAGTCAAGTATTTACCAGAAAGCCTGTATAAACCTCAAACATTTGTGTCAATATCATGTCATGTTTAATATAAAAAGCAGTGAATAATGAGGAATGTTCATAAATCCATACACAGGCAAGCAAATAGGTGTGAGGGCTTTAAGAATATGCTGTTCACGTCAGCAACCTCCCTTATATCTTTATAAATGCTCACCTGTAGAGTTGGCAGAAGGACACTTGGCAGTTTAATCGTACTGAACAGATGCATTTGCAAAAGAATCACTCCAGAATGACTCACTTCACTGGTTCTTTGAAATGTTCGATATATGGGAGGGTTTCAGTCCTGTTTAGTTCAGTCCAGGTTTAACCTCAAAAAGGCTCCATCATAGTGTTTCATATGTGCAATATTGTCTCTGCCTTGTGCCAGGATCCACGTGTCAGTTTTTCCATCGGATTTGCTTGAGTAACAAAAAGGAACAAAAATCAGACATTTTAGTTCATGGGAGCACAACCCTGCATTGAAACGTGTGAAGCAACCTGTGGTGGACACTGACAAATTACTGTAAAATGTTAGTGTATCTGTTTTGAAACCGTGAATCAGAAAATGATTCAGAAATGGCTGCTCACTTCCTCTTACCCCGCCATTGAGGAGCTCCTGAATCTTCCTGTACTCGACCGAGTTTCGTTCCAGCTTCTCTCCATAAACAATAAGCTGCTGTCGGTCCTTCAGGTCTCTGTAAGTCTGAATGGACACAGCAAACGCAGTGAGTTACACCGAGAAAGCCCCAAACAGCCATACCGACTCGAGAATCAACTCACATTGATGATGACGTCATGGCATTTATATTTCAGAGCCACGCTGAGCTTGAGCTCTGGGTCGTCGATGAGATTCACATACTCCTGCAGCACCTGCAGATCATGGGAAGCAGCGTTGAAGAGCCCGCTGGCAGAGAGGCAACCGGAGGAGCAGTTTTATTACAACATGGAAACTGATGTACCTGTACAGGGGCGCTGTTCTTCTGCAGGATGTCCACCACCCTGTGAAAGCCAATGGGAGACCTTTTCTTGGTGTACCCCAGCCAGTTCTTGGTGTTGAACAGACTATCCACATCAAACCATGACTTCAACTTCGCTCTTGCGCCAAGAGCTGTGAGAATGTACTGCTTTTCTGAAATCTGCCACAGCAAACATGACGGAACAGGTTAATAAAAGAAACTCGAAACTTACACATATGCTTATTTATTAGGGGTGGAACGGTACATGTATTCGTATTGAACCGAAACGGTACGGGCGTCACGGTTCGGTGCACGAATTTACACGGAGAATACACGGTATAAAAATAAATAAAACTCGCTTGCAAATTAATTACTGTAATGCGGAACTACAGTTAGATACGCGGGTTCTTTAGGGACACATAATCTGTACCATCGGTTTAGCTCTGAACGCGCGTTCACTTCAAACGTTGGCTTTATACGCGCGTCCTATTGACTAGCGTCAAACTAGACGCGAATTTGACGCTCTATTCGCGTTTGGTGTGACCGCAACAGGCTGCGATGTCAAGATTGAAATGCTGGAGTGTGTGTGTGTGTGTGTGTGTGAGAGAGAGAGAGAGAGAGAGAGAGAGAGAGGCGCGGGCGCGATAGAGGCACGCGATCGAACAGTGGAAACATAAAAAAGCATACTCGGTCATTTTGTTCAGATCATTAAACCTGCAAAGTGTTTACTTCTATTTGTGTACACTCGCAATAAAACACAATATTGTGCTTTTGTCACACTGTAAACTCTTGTCAAACTGTAACCTACAACTGCACCCAACCAAAATCACACACACACACTGTTTTAAAAGCACTAATCTTACACATTCTACATTGATTAAAAAAGAAAATCGAATGTGTTTTTAATGGTAGTATTATTTTATACAGAAATCAATTATTTATAATTCAGATGAGAATAATGTTACAT